TTTTTTTTTTTTTTTGCATCTTGCTGTGGGTTGGAAACACTATTATTCACAAATTTACTTTTGATATTCATATTACTAAAATCTAGGTTCTTAATTTTGAAATTCGATCCAGCAAATTTTGTACAGTAAATTAGTGTCAAATATGATCACAATCATAAAGCATTTTTGTAATACATTGTTGTAATAATTTTCTATAACATGTGTTCAACTAGATATGTGGCATTATAACAAACCAATATTCAAAATGTATAAATAATCACAAGACATCATAGAGTCACTAGATATATGATATTATATATTTTAATATCGATATATTATGAGTTCTTAACTACTGTATGTTCCGCAACTTCTAACTTCTTGTAATGTATTTATAACAAATGGCGTATAATAATAAGTTGTCTACCTTGATAGAATGTAGTATATGCTACATACTAAAGTGCTTTGACTCGATTAACATGTTACAATATGCTTATTGTGATATGTTATGTATGCTCCATGTTTGATAAGTTCTATTACATTATCTTTTACATTTATTGCATTTTATGGGAGCTATTAAGTATTCAAGAGTTGCGATGGAAACATGTCACAAATAAATAACGTCAAAAGAGGTCTTCGATATCATTAAAAAAGTTTTCTAATTGGCTTTGTTCGTCTCCTTCACAATCTACATATTATGAACCGTCCTAACCTTCCTCGAAATGTAACCATGATTCATTGACCAAGTTATGTCTCATTTCAAAATCAAATGTGACCATACCGTATATTTTAAAACTCAAGTGGAACATATTATATTACGCATATCAATTCACATACTACACATGTTACATTACACATCATGTTATTTCTCATTTCAAAATCAAGTATAACCATAGGATGGGCACTGCTGGGCTTGCAACCTCAGGGTGGGGAGTTCGATTCCTGGATTGAGCAGCTGAGTGTTGTAATACTCAATTTGAGTGGAGCAGCTTGGTAATGTAATATCCATGGAGGAAGGCTCCCTTGGGGCCAGGAG